GATCGTTTAATATGATAAAACTTTTAAATTTACCAACAGTTTGGCGTTCTGCTTGGCGATGGCCATAGGGGACTCCAGTGGCTTTTGTCTAAGTTTCACTACTCTCTATGTTTCGCGTTTTACGTGCGATATCGCCATTAGATAGTTTGTTCTCCGTACGAAATGAGGTGTGTCTATTGTGCTCGGATTCGAACCTACACTCCAACGTGTCCCGAAGATTAGCAGGCAAAGACGTTACTCGCTAAGCTATAACGGAGAAAATGACGCAGTTTGACCACGTGCTATTTTCATTATCGTAGTGGATTATTATACGGATTTGCCAAATCCTTTACGAAATCTGTTGAACAGGGCCAGGCCGCTATTGTAATATCTACTTGAAGTATGGTCGTATACTGTCACTTATGTTAGATAGGTGTCACTATGTCAATTCGGGTAATTCTCGTATTTCATGGAGGATACGTCTACGTGCATCTTATTAGTCATAAAAAAAGGAACTTGCTTTGAATAATTTTCGTAGCTACCGCCTCTCTATTTATAACTAGGCTCAGGTCATTTATGGCAAGATCACTTAGGCCGGCCGTGGGGGCCGCAGCTGGGTCCACATTGAAATTTGCCGGCGGCTTCTATTCATTGACCATTTATCGAGTACGTATATACTTATATGGATAGTAATATATTTAGGTTAAATAATAGTTTGTCATGTGACGTTTGAATTTACATGACTGATATTATATGTTAATGTATGATACAAACATATATATGTATCGTAGTAATTAAACGGCTCAACTAAGTACATGTTTTAATCCAATAAGCTCATGTCAATCCGTTTTATAGTAGACATATAATATAATACTACTATGTACTAGGAACGTTACGTACGCAGCTGGAAAAAAGCCGGTGCTTGCTATCGATCGACCCTTCCATACTAAAATATGGCGATTTAGACGTTTCATAGAGGGGTTGCTTCTTCCGCCATAGAAACTTTACAGTCTGGTGTCCCTACTGTTGTGCCGGACTACGTATAACTGTTATTGTTCTATGCTCGTGTGTTAATGGCCCCTGAATCGCAAAATCGGCGTGTTAAACTATATATGCCGGAGCAATATCTATCTCTATATATCTCAATTGTATACGTACTAGGATGGTGCCTGTATGATGATACAGGAACAAAGACAGTTCTGTATGTAGATGCTACTAATGTTTTCGTCGTTACATAGAAAGCTACATACTATTGCACTGTTGTATAATGAAAAGGTGACCGGCACATAAACTGTTCATCAGATAATAGTTATGCCATTTTTTCAAGGGTTTGTCAATACGACTTTACCATTATCATGGAGAAGCAGAGTGCTGATGAGATGATAGCACGTTGATCATGGCATTGAAATGACCAGGGCTCCACAGGGCTTTGCGACGAAGCGAGAAGGATGGGAACTTGGTCCCTTGGAGCTTGATCTGTATCACTAAAACGAAGCACTGCGTACTCCGTCTATGAGATCGTAGCAGTAAAAGTCGTAGTAGTGATATCGGTAGTAGTTCATAGTGCGTTCGGGTCAATGCACAGAGCGGTCTGAGCTCTGATCACCCAACTAATAAAGGCTTCTGCAGCAGTTCAACTACGCTATGGTGGCCGTTGGACTACTTTGATGGGCATTCAGCTTATGTCTAATTAACAACCCAAATAAGAGCTCTTTAAAAAACAGTATACGAATAACTGTGAGTCGAAGAAGCACCTGTGCGTAGTATAAGAAGTTATTTTTTCTTATTGGAGCGTACATACAATGAGTAACTATGTTGATATTTGGGAAACAACAATTACTGTTCCTATATTTGTACAATGTCCATCTTCGTACTATGGAAGTATTTTTGTATCGACAGACAATGGGATACAGTCACTTTCTAAAAGCTCTATTGATGCAGTAAGCAATACGACTAGGTTACTATCGGCCTTTTATACACATGTGTCAGCTTAGAGTAGGTTTGCGTACACTTATATTAACATAAATTTTCATATTTAGTCATAATTACAAGCTTGACTCAAAACAACATCGATCGCTGTAATAAAACGGTGCTTTCAACGGACTTCCGTTTCTCTTTCGTCTTTGCCCTTATTCTAAATCTATTGCCTATATATATATATATATATAGTCGTTTGCATCGAAAATAAACGGTTTAAAAAAATCGAAGTCGATTTATAGAACTGATAATCAAATGACGCAAGATTTTTATCGATTTCTAAATCTTTTTAACTTTTATGGTACCTAACTTGCATGCCTGAGATGAGTTGAATAAGTTAATTCATCTTGAACGAGCAATAATAGAGTCCTATTAAATTTTTTGACCCAGATGGATCGCTGGCAATAGATTTTCTAAATGGCACATATTAACAGTCAAGTCCGCAACACTCTTGTCTGTTGTAGATTTGCGTTGATCTATGGTGGCATCTGCGTGTACTTTGCAGCCGCATACAGATGCAGAAGAGACTCAAAATTAGAAATGGTAATTGCTCGTGGACCTCAAAAAGGCGAATGGAATTTGTCGAGGTACGATCGCTGCAACGCGAATATTTCTCAGCTCGTACCGTATAGCGTGTACAGCGTTTCGCGCCATTTCAAGTACTGTTACTACAAATTTTCGCCCCCTTTTACATGTACAGAAACATCCCACCTTCGTTTCTATCTAAAGCTTACCCGGAAGAACGAAGCATTCTCTTGGGAGCCTTTTGGTCCTGAAATTAGTAGTGAAATATTAAAGTAGCATCGTGGGGTGGTTCTAGTAAAACAGTGTCCGGCGGGACAGGCAAAGACAATTTGGGCGTAGGAAGATTACACTCTGCACGAGCGGAACTTTAGCTATATAGAATTAAGTACAAGACGAAGCGGAGTGGTAAGCCGTTGGCCAATGACTCAACTAAGCAATCGCACCCTCCGGACAGTATACGTAATTGTTAGAATTCAGCAAATATAAAGTAACTACATTTACGTCCAACAAATTTTTAGCGAGGCGGATAATATGAAGATTGCCAAATGCGTCACGCAATACCCACGTGCGTACACTAGCACATAAAGTGGGTTTTACTTCGCTTAGGTAATCCCTATGCATTGAAGATCGTGCCACAAAAGGAAACCTGTTAACAAAAAAAAACTGACAGTCATTGACAGAAAAAGACAGTGAACTTTTGGTGCCGAGTTATAAGGATTTGGGAAAGGTTGAGAACGATTACGGGGACGCGAGCGCCATGCTACTGGTCATATTATTATTTGAACGAGTAATCTTTTAAGTGGGATAACGCAAATATCGACTGCTTATAAAAATAGTAAGCAAGGATCTGACTAGAGAGGCGCAGGGTTAAGCTTTATGGACTCATATCGAATTTTTTTCTCCGACACCCCTATATTTTTTGCTGTCGTTCCCTGACTAACTTCGATGAGCTTCCTAATGACAGTGTTCAAATGAGATAGCACTCTGTGAGCTATGAGAAGTAAACGGTTCAATATTATCAAGATACTTACATCGGTGAGTCATTAAATACCGTCCTGGTTGAAACCAGAGAGTTTGCATGACATCTGGAGTTCGATACCTAAATATATGCAGTCGTTGGTCTAAAACTCCAGGAAATGGTCGCGCCGGTCTCTCCCCTACCAGAGAGAGATAGCCGGAACTTATTATGTGCTAACGCTTCTTCTCTTTCTATACCCGTTATTAAAGCTAACGCTGCTATAGAGCTCTGTCGATACCTTTGATCCATGTGTATTAACATACATGTTTACATTACTCATTTAGTATACAATAATATTATTTTTTAATTATTTTGTTCTACTGGATCACAGAAACTGGGAAGGAGGACTCCAACAAAAATACCTACATGCGTTATTTTATTTTGCTATGAATAAATATGCCCTTTGTACCGGCAGACCTGTCTTTAATGCCCTATCTCTTGATCTTCTTGAGTTCGCTTAACATTCAAAGCTTATTAAGGCCTAAGCCCGTTCTACTTTTTCCATTTTTCAATTACCTGTGATGTGGCACAACGTTTGCATGTAATTAAACGATGAAGCAGGTTCAAGCTTCATTTGAAACCAGTTAAGATCGTTTCTAGGACACTGTACTTTATTAAGCTTCTCTTTTCAAAGAGTGACAGTTCATTGTATCCCTGTTCCTCCTTGTTCGCGTTTCACTCTTCTCGGTTTGGATATTCGAATGCAATTCCTATTGCGACTGGCTGTAGTATGGTACATAAAGCCTTATATATATATATACATATATATATACATATATATATATATATATATATATATATATGTATGTTACTATTCCAAGTGTGCGTCTTCTCACAGTGTACAAGGAGGCAAACTATTACTATCGGAAACATCTTCATTGAAAATCGTGTCTGTTTTTGAGCTAGTTTATTTTATGAACTCATTTTATCGAGAGTAAAAAAAGAAGGTGCTGAAGCCGCTATGAATCTTTCTTAATTTCGCACTTTAATATGCTTTGAGGAACCTTATAACGAATATCTACCATTATCGACACAAACAGAAATTGAAAGCCTCTCGGGAACTTTATCGATATGCTTTCCAGGAGAAAACTATAAGAAAGCAAATGGGCGCGGATTGCTTTCTCGATTAGATTACCTATATGGAATCATCGAAAAAGTATTGACAATTTTCAAAACACAATTAAGGTATATATTATTTATACTTTAAAAGAATATTATTGAACTAAGTATGCGCCATTTGAGCGACGACCTTTCGTCATTTCTCTTGTAATGTTATGATTCCGTCACTAGAACTTCTGTGGTATTATATTAAAAATAGCCAGAGGCACACCTATTGTCAGACACCCATATTTTAGTATGTCCTTAAGATGCTACTTATTTTTTGAGCTAAAAGAAAATGCACCTTCGGGTTATGTTAATGCTACTAGTATTTATATTTGGAAAAAATTCCTTCCTTCCATATAGATTAATATTTTTCTGTATTAATTGATCATTTTTACAGCTGCCCTTCGATAATTTGCATCATGTACGGCATCGACGGCTGGTCCATCGCTCCATCGATTTACATCCTCATAACGAAAGTGAGCCCTGGGAGGAGAGAATTCAACAGAAGATCAAGGTAAGAAATAGAAATCAGTGGATACACCACTATCGAGATACCGAGGGGGTGAGGCTTAGCCCAGTCAATTCGTAATACAAACGAAATTATGATAATTGGCGTTTCTGTTTTAAATACAAACAATGATAGATTTTTTCCATTTTATTCTAGCCTCTGTTGCATCTATTTGTATCATACTTTTTTGTATCATACATATTTTACGCGGGGAAGCATTTTTGTAAAACGCAACTCAGACTCGCAAATTGAATATATAAGGGTTGTTCGGTGACTGCATTCAAAATGTGCTTCAATATCCTTCTTCTTTCTATAATAATATATATATATAATAAAACTTCTTTCTTTATCATACCTTATTTTAAGAACTTATGTCTTGCGGGCGCCCCTTAGCAGTTGAAAAACACAGACAATATTAGTTAGATAATATTTATAATATAGATATATAAAATATATATAATATATATATATATATAATAGATAATAATAAATAGGGAGGACAAGGCAACTTTCGTTCTATTATAATAGCTACTCTAAACATTATCCAGCCACATCCGGCTTTGGTGGTTGAAATTAAATGATAAGGTCTTTCAGTTTGACTGTTCACGAAGAAATTCTCTACTTTCGATTACTATCAACAAATCTAATCGTGTTGTACGATCCTCAGTAGATATTCTCGTACGAATTGCATAAAGTACATTGTTTCACTTAGCTTAAATTATAAACGCATAAATTGCAATAAGTTACAATGAAACTGGGTGTTTGTTTGACCAAAAAGCGCGATTACGTCAGTTAGGTGTAGGCAAATGCCTATCTCCGTCTCCCGCCTTTCTGCCCCTTTCGCATAAGGATGTCCTATTCTTCATGAAACAAATTCTAGACTTATCCAAATAATTTTTAATCAAAGTTGTACACTCAAACAGGACCCATCTAGTCGTTCATGCTCTCTTTTGCTCCATGGTACCGGTATGTGTTATAATAATCCTTATAGTGACTGGAACTAAGATAAAGGAAAATTGCTAACAATTACCGAACCCTCCTATGTTAAATTTAACGCTCACTAAGCGCTATGTAGAGCCAAAACACTTTTGGGATTAGTTGGGTGGCTTTGGAGGCTGAAAAATGGGGTTCCTTACTTTCTCTATACGAAAACAAATTTAAAAATAACTACCTAGATTTATAGTGTATTGCTACTAGATATCTTTAAACTTTGTTGTCAAATGTTTCTGAGTATTGTTTGTTTGACATTGCCAGGTGCGGACAAAGCGTGACTACGGTGGTGAGGAAAACGTGCACTTATGGCAACGTTGGCAACGCCAGAGTGACGAAACAATCTATTCTGCTACTGGGAGAATGCTCGACGGTAGCTATTCGAGAGACCACCTACCGCGAACCTCCGTGAGACAAAAAAGGGCGCCACAATTCAAACCCGAGCGTGAACGGTTTGTCATGCATCGTAATCAAAATTATTAATTCATAGCAACTTACTCTAAATTTACGATGTATAACGTTGAAGACTAACTGCTGGGATAAGATCAATCGAAGCGGTCCTTACCTTTATGTATTTTATTTTTCAGCATCAATAATAGTTCAGTATCTTCCACATATGATATATAACTGTACTATTTTTCAATAGGCCTTTGAAAAACTCCAGATTGTCCTGTAAAATCTACCTCGAGTAGACCCGCGCTTGTTTTTCGATGGAGATTTTCTTTGTTGTTTAGTAGACGACGCGTTTACTGGAAACTGTCAGTTTACCTTAGTATTTCTAGAGGTAAAAGTGTGTATAAAAGTGCGGACTCTGAAAATGTAACATCCCAACTGCGTTGTACTGAGCTTGTTTAGAGGCTAGCTTTTTCTTTCCGCTAGCACTATAAAAAGGTAGTCATTGTTGTACATAGTTTAGATGGTTCGTCTTTTTTGTTTGGTCGTCGTAGTTCTAGCAGACGACAGAATTATGTCGAATCTCTGCCATCGGCGCCTACGATCAACAGGGCATCTCATGTCGCTTTTGCGCTTCGATTCGCCTCCTCTTTCCTCATCCTATTTTTGTAGAACACTGAATTTTAGTTGCCATCGATTGAAGAATTTACTATCAACACATCCATTAATTTCTCTTTCTACGTAGTCGTGGTGTGATGTCCCGCTCCACCGCATAGACCCTTGGCGATCCTAAAGCTTCATCGTACTGCTGTGCGGTGCGTGAGGCAGGAGGCCATAGCCGTCCGCACGGTACACGAAGCGCGAAGGACATGGGCTGCCTATCCCCCATTCTGATCATTCCAACTATCCCTGCAAAGGACGCTGTTGATGTCGAATGATCGCCTCAATCACTTGCTTTTTTTTTGTAAAAATACGCATGAGATTCCCTATTGACTGTTAAGGGATCGCTACGTTCTCGTAGAAAAAACCTCTAACCAGCTAACAACAAGGCCTTTTTCCAATGCGTCACTCGAGTTCGCCTGTTTTGCTACGTATGATATAATGGGATGGCCGTTCCGGCAAGCTCAGTCGGCTCAAAAGTTCGTCACCTGTGAAAAAAGCACCCCAGTGTTGTCAATTGTCTGAGCCGTATAGCGATCGTCTGCGGACTGGAATCCTCTACGGGCTGCCGCGAACCTTTCTGTTTTCTATACAGAGATAGATAGCATCATTCTAGAGGCCCGTCGTAGAACTTAGAGCGCCTAGTTACTGCGGTCTATTATAACTGAACGCGTTACATTTTTTTAAGAGATTAAATAAAAACAATTGTGTATCAGATATTCAGATAGCATTTGCAGCACTTAAATTACTATGAGCTGTTCAAGTGCCTCATTGTCGTGAGCAATAGTATTTGATGAATTCTCGTTGAGTGAATGTATTTGGCATTATTCATAGAGGTTGGATATGTTCCAGGACGCGAATGAATGATCCGAAATGGCCGCTGCAGTGGTACCTGAACCGGGGAGGGGGGTTAGACATGAATGTTGAACGAGCATGGGCCGAATTTAACGTATCTGGCAAGGGCGTCGTCGTCACTATTTTGGACGACGGACTCGAGAAGGATCACCCTGACATTCAGGAAAACTACGATCCCGATGCTAGCTATGATATGAATGATCAGGACCCAGGTGAGGACAATACTTAATTTTTATGCATTTTAAGTTGTCTATTGTTGCGTATTTTATTCCTATTTAAATTTTGATAAGCGTGTGTAATAATTGAAGTTCGTATGTTTTGTGAATAGTACCGCATTAGTTTGTTGGTCCCTTACGTACGCTTATTTGTAATTCAACAATAGTTAAGTTTAAACTAACCGACTGAAAATGCCAATGATATAACAGTGAGAACAACGCAACTATTCCAAGACCAAACCTATATCAATGCTATGACAGTTGAGCCCCTTTTTTTATTGTCAAACCTGATACGAATGAAATATTGCGTATCTATATTAGATAACAAGGTCCAAACGCGACTACGTATGTGTATGTAAACGTTATTTATAAAGTGTATGACATACGACCTCTTTAACGATGATATGCCTTAAAGGACGGAAACTTGTACTCAGTTATCTTCTGCCATCATGTGCCACATATGATATGTTTTGTAGTGCGTCCACATTAGTGTTCCTCTAGCGTTTCTGTAATAATTTTTAATTGAAGATCAGGTATAAGTAACAGACGTCGAAAGCGTCCAATGAACTTATTTCTACATTACGTGTTTGACGCACGCTGCAATCTACTTTTCAGATCCTCAACCACGATATGAGCAGACCGACATGAACCGGCACGGTACACGATGCGCTGGAGAAGTTGCTGGTATTCGAGATAATCAAGTCTGTGGTGTGGGGATAGCTTATGGTGCATCCATTGGAGGAATTCGTATGCTGGACGGCGATGTGACGGATGCTGTAGAAGCTAGGTGAGTTAAATACGTGTGGGGCTCAGTGAGCCCAGAGAGAGAAAATCAGTAGTATCATCGTGTATTAATATGCCATAAATTCATCAATGCCTAAACTGTTCCATGCTGTTTTTGTGGTCAAATCATAACAAAGCGATCACTTCGCTGTTATTACATTAATTTTTACATACATTGTTTTGCCAAACATTAGACGACCAGCTAAATCTGCGCATGCGCACTGCTGAAAAAAGATATACGAAAACCAGGAACGCTGATGTTCTTTGAGATTAGTCATTTTACTTTAGATAAACGCTACTTTATGGAAAGTATTACCTCTCGTAACTTTCTGGTGAGGTTATAAGGTGATTATTGATCTTTTTAGCTTATTTGTGACAAGGAAGGTATAAAAAGTTCTGCCAAAAGGCTTAGCTTATGCGTTAGGGTTCTTTGCAGATACGCTGTTAAGGGCGTTTCGACGTGAGCCGATTATAACTGTCAAGCATCTGCAGCAAGCTTTTTACATCTTTTAACGAAGTATATGGAAAAGCAATCGATCCGGTCTATTGATGTTGCAATCTGGATACTGGAAGCACAGTTTGTACTGTTCTCACCTTTTAGGTGTGCCTTATTAAAATAGGAAAGTAGGAAAATAAGAAAGAAAATAGAAATAGGAAACCACAAAGGTGTCGATAATTTATTCATTTTAAAAATATATACCTAAACATTTACAGCTAACCTGTGTAGGTACTTAGGTCTATTTTATTTAAAAAAATATACCTACAATGACCAGCTAAGCTTGTCTTACAAATAATGTGCTTCTCGAAGCAAGGTCCCGACTCTTTTATATGGTTGCTCTCAATATGTATAAAGTTCCTTAATAGTTTTCTGTGTCGCATTAGATTACTCCACTTTTATGGCTGTGGATTTGGCCCTACTAACTAGCTCCAGAAGTGCCTAAACAAGCGAAGGATGTGTGGTCAAGGTGAATCCTTGTAAAGAACTCTTGCATCGATGTCTCCATAGTATTCTTGCTATTGGCGTTGTAGCAACATCGAGTGACATTGATTTGGGTCGGATATATGTGTAAACGCTTTAACTGTACCAATCTCTAGGCCTAGCGTTTCCCAGGGCGATAGATGGTCAGTATGTGTGCAACAAAGGGCCATGTCAAGCGTGTATAGAGATGAACAAACTATGAATGTTTGTTTGGATAGTGATTTAATTCTGCATGACACCTATTACTACGTCGTAAATGCTTTGGAAGTTAAACGTTCCAATAGGTAAAAAAGTTAAATGGCCTAGTTCGTTTAATTTGGATTGCGATAGCACTAGGTGACACTAGGATTATCATACCCGGTGTACTAGTGGGTACACTGTAATCCCAGACAATTCGATGCTTTCTTAACAATTTAGATTGTATTTAGATGTAAGATTTATACAATTTTACTATTATTATACTACGTAAATTAATCAAGTAATTTATTAAGACCGTCAAACGCAGTCTTAGCGATATGCAGCTAGCTTGTCTGGAAGTTTATAGCTGCTTAACCTTCCTGCTGATGAGCTGAACTGTCACATATATTCCTAAATAGAACCTTTAGCGAATAATTCCTATTTAATACATCTTGCATTCCACAGTTAAAAGGCGCACATAATAGAATACTTTCTGTTTAAGGCACATCCGATTTATTTGCACAAACTTGAACACCGTTTTTGATCGTGCAGCGCGATGATTACGAGAGTAGTGCATCTGTAAACTAATTTAATATTCGTCTGCTATGTTTCCAGCAGCCATGTTCGAAGCTGTCGTTCGTCGGTTTCAGTGTTCGCCGCACTATTGCAAGTCAAAATTCCTAAAACGAAAGCGCACGTAGTTTTCTATATTACAGATGCGTGTCATGTTCAGAACAGAAGTTAGATATTTCATTTTGGCGAATTACTGGCGGAGTCTTGTTAACAGGACGCTGTAAGGTTTCAGTTCGACTTATTGAGTGAGGCACGTGTCCTTCAACTTTGAAGGAAAAAAACACAAAGGACCGCTCTGTCGTCAAATGGCGCATACAGTACATAGCACTGACTATTGATTTACAGCATCAGGCTTGTCACTCAAAGTTTCTGCTGAAAGGAGGAAGTGGCCCTCCGTTGAAGTCCCTTTTTCTTCTCATGCGTATTCTCTCTATGGTTTCGTGCATGTGCCATCGTCGTTGCAGTTAGCATCCTTCAGGCAGCACGAGTCAAAATGCTTGATACAATCTCATGAAGTTCCAAAGAAGCCCATTCATTTTAGTGTACCACAGCCACTGCTACAGCTCGCAAGTCGCAATGCAAGTCGATATTGACGTAGGGCTCCCATCCCCATGTTTCCAGATTTTCTGAAGCAAGAGAACCCGACAGTCTTGAAAAGGCTTGTGAAGATCAATAGAATGCCTCCTAATATAATCGAGCTCGATGTTTGCACATGTCGTCTGGTACCGTTACAGAGACTGTGAATGGCGATTCATTGGCGCCGACAACGCTACTGTACAGAGGAATGCTGATGCTCAGAAACCGGGTGACATTTTACTCGACGACACTTATCAGAACACAAGGGTAGAAGTGGATGACGGGGAACGATACACCAACAATGTTTGTGTTGTTAGGCCTTAGGTAGGATAGTAAAATGTCATGCGACCGGATTAAGCGCGCATGGCAAAGCAAGTATATGAAAGGAGTCGGTAAAAACCAACGTAGCTGTTGTCAATAGCCCTCTAAAAAAAGCCGCATATTGTCGCTGTTATCGCGGACGATATGGAGAAAGTATGTCTCTGATGATTCATCGTATAGTACTTGAAAGCTATTTGGAAGAACAGATTAGAGCTGTCGAACAGCACACCTTAACGCGCTGTTCTGCGGTTTGATATTTACATTGGAGAAAGTTATTATATCAATAGAATCATGGGGTAATTTAGTAAACGTCACTGAAAATCCAGTTCTCAAACGTATTGTTTTATGTAAAAGCCATAGCAGCTTCGTTCACGACCCAATTTTATAGGTTTTACGGACCGAAAATTCCTGCTGACCAAAACATTCATGGATGAAATGAAGTGATTGGTACTTAAAAAAGGGTTACCTTCGTTCGGGTAGTCCTAAAGCAATCATTTTTTGTGCCGAACGTTTGGTACTTATACTATTAGACGTTTTTCAAATGGCTGGCTCTTGCCAAGACGAAATGAAGTGTGTCTACGTCCATATTCAAACCTTAGCTACCACGTGTTTTTAAGTTCAGCGGGCAAACACTGCCCTATCACAAATATGTTAGGCCTATTGCAGAGTCAGGAGTTTTCAGAGAAACGCTTCGATAATTTAGCTCGGTTCTTGTAATTGTATTCACATATTCATAGCATATAATAAGCAATCTAATCGAAACAGTGTTTTGACAGCCATTGATGGACTGTGGTCAACGGTATTGCGACTTGCAGGTCTCTGAGTTTAAATTCTCAACACGTCCACGTCTATTCGGCGTCGTGGGGTCCGGACGATGATGCAAAAACCGTCGATGGGCCGGGTCAGCTGGCGGATCGCGCCCTAAAGGACGGCATCCGAAACGGTCGTAAAGGGCTCGGTTAGTATACGATTAGTATACCTCAGTTGTGCTTACCTACTATATAAACCCAAATAATATCTTATTAACTTGTCTCACATTTCATAATTACATTTGACTGTATCGCTGAGCCGAGAATACTGAGTTAATGAGTTAATCAATGTAACGCTGCTGTTGAGTCCGTAAGCAAATGATCTGTTATTGTTATTATTATTATTCTATCAAGGAATCGATTTTTATAACATCTATGGATCTTTTACTATCAACGCTTATCTATGGAAAATAGTTTATCCCCTGATATGGCCGAAATTAAAAGGAAAGGCTACACATTCAAGCTGCACCCATGGCAGTCACTGGTTTACTTGTTATAAAATAGCCTGGCACAATTTTGGGTTTTCTATATTTCATTCATATATATAATCTAGTTTTATGTTTAACCTGTCTTTTACCCAAAGGTTAAGTGTTAAAGGTGTTAACTACAGGGATAAAAATCTTTACAAAACCATTTTAGGAACTGCCACAGAACATGTAATGATTGTTGCAGTTGTCTAGAAATGTAAATGATAGTATTTTTATTATTATTCATATAGCTGGAAGTATATAATGATACGTTATAAAATAAAACTTCTGTGCTAAAAATATATTACTTACTCTAAAGGGAACATTCTACACTCGAAAGAAGTTGTGTCCCTGCAGCCATACATACATTCAGCCAAGGATCATGTAGGAAAAGACCTCTTTTTCGACAAAAGAAGGCAGCACGGAGCTTAGGAGTTCGAGGCTGAACAAGAGGACGTAATGAGGGTAGGGATACATGAACACGATCACCTTTTTCGGGACAATCCCGTCATGGCTCTGTCCTCCAAACTTAACGAAGAGAGGGTACACGTGCCACAAACTGTCGCTCCTGCTGTTGCTGATTATGCTGAGTGTTGGCGGCAGACGAATTAGATGAGAAGAAATTGGGTATAGACCCCCAGAGCTCTTGGGAGTCTCCCGACCCAAATAGGGACCACGCAAAGATATCGGATCACTAAGCAGATATAATTCACGGCATCACCAACACCTTGGCTCTGACCTGGCGTAGGCTACGCCTGCTATCTAGAATTGTCGTGAAAAATCGTGAAAAAAAATTTGAAAGCGTCGCTCAGAGGACTTGTTTTTAATCGTCTAGACAAACGTGGATAATACATACGTTTATAGACGGTGAGAAAAACACAAACAATATTTTGTCTATAGAATTTTTTTACGCTTGGCACAGTTTCTATCAGCGTAATTGGAGTCACCATTGCATAATAAATATGTGCAATTATATGAATGGATAGCTACAAAACAGTAACGTATATTCGTGATGTATCTGTTCGAGGAACAACGAACATGCGCGGATCATGTGGCACGCTAAAGGAAGTGTGTAAAAGCATCAATAATATTAACACGTTAGTGTTCTTTTTTACCTACAGTTATGGGCTATTAGCGAACACAGATGCGGTGCGCTGGTCATCCGATGCAAAACAAAGCATACGCACCGTTCTGGTCTAGTTAGTAGAACCATGTGATTGATATTAACAGTTTGTGCGCATTTCAGGTAGTATCTTCGTTTGGGCTTCCGGAAACGGTGGTAAAGAGAAGGACAACTGCAACTGTGATGGTTACGTCAACTCGATCTATACGCTAGCAGTTTCAGCAGCTACCGAAAACGGAAACGTGCCCTGGTATTCGGAGAGTTGTGCAGCATCGTTGGCTACAACATACTCATCAGGCAACTACAATGAAGGTCAGATCGTGACGTCGGATCTTCATCACAACTGTACGGAGCGACACACTGGCACCTCAGCCTCAGCGCCATTGGCAGCTGCTATCGTCGCGCTCGCGCTGGAATCCAATCCATCGTTAACGTGGCGGGACATGCAACACCTGGCCGTACGAGCAACGAAGCGAGCCAATCTGAACGCTCCTGACTGGGTGACAAACGGAGTTGGTAGGAATGTATCGCATTCATTCGGTTTCGGCCTTCTCGACGCACATCGAATGGTCGAGCTGGCCAAAAGATGGCGACGCTCACCACCGCAAAAGGTTTTAGGATACACATATAATTACATTGTCGTTGTTCTCGTGCCGTTACTATGCCTGTAGACTTATTCAACCTTCACCTGTGTGAATAATTACGTGTAGTCTGGGCGTGAGATATAATTGAAGGAATATGTCATTTATTAAAAAGTTTGCGTAAAAAGGATATAACTATTAGCCAAGGAGACACTTTGCGAAAAAGAATATATATATATGTAGCCAATAAACCACGAACATTAGTGGCATGCATTTTTCTAAGAGATCAGAGAGGTTTTTCGACAAGTGCGATTTAAGGAGAGGGGACCTTGTACGTTTTAGTGACCCGTTTCGGTTATAGTAATAGTCTAATGGGTTTGAATACCGCGCTTATAGGTGTGTACGGTGAGTACACCTCGAAACGATAGGGCAATTCCCCCTAAGAGTACGTTGCTTCTTCATCTGTACGTCGAATGCAAAAATGTCAAACATATTGAGCATACTATTTCCAAGGTAAGTTATGAAGTTATACGGAAGAGCACGAAAAAATTACATTACAGAGTAATTTACCGGGGTAAAATGCTGAACCATGTTACTAAATATAGTAGTATGGTATTGATTTATCAGCTTTATTCGCTTGGGATAGTATTTCGCCTCGCTTACGTCTAAACGAGAATGACTTTTAAAAAAATCAACGTGATCAGGTTATGCGAAATGATGGGTCAGCACTGGCGGCTTTTTTTTTTTTAAATTTTATCTAATTATTTGTAAAAGGTTTGTTAGGGAAAACATCAAAGTCAATACACTATTACATTACCTCGAAGTAGCTGAGTAGTATTTTATCTATGGTATTGACTATATTATGGCCTTGTTACCTGGTTACTTCAGATTTCGCTACAGGCGGTTCGTCGTGGAGATCTGCACATTTACTTAACTTCACCGAAAGGCACAAAGAGCACCTTGTTGACGATGAGACCGCGCGACGACTCACGTCAAGGCTTTAATCAGTGGCCCTTTATGACGGTGCATAATTGGGGTGAAGATCCAAACGGCAATTGGACCTTAGAAATTCACAATGAAGGAGCTTATCTCGGTAAAGTCGATTTTTACTATTATTATTATGACAGCATATGGAACTTGCGTGTACATGACAAGTATGTTTCCACAGCATTGTGTATGCAAACTCAACAAGTAGTTATTGATGGTGGTGTATGATATTACTTAATTTTTGAGCTACATAATGAATTCGACTACGTAATGTGTAGTAATAATATTCGTTTATGTTTCAATCGGCAGATGTATGTGAATCTTGCTATTGTTCTATCTGAATTCCGTGCTTCAGCCGTTTCGATCTGACTGCTACGATGCGGCTATTAGAATAACGATGATCATTATTTTCGTGATCACTTTTACTGAGCTAGGCAAAGCCACGTTGAGGGAATGGGCATTAATATTATATGGCACCGCTGAGGACCCAGAAGCTCAGCTAAGATCGGACTTTCCGGATAAGCTGTTAGGCGAGATTGATCAAGGCAATGATTTAGGCGGGAATGAAGGTTCTTCAGGCGTAAGGAGTACAGGCGTCAGAGACCGTGAGTACAACTATCTGCTGTTAACGTTCCTAATGCGTATGACGTGCTATTTGGTTGTGAGTAGTAGATCTGTAGATATGATTTAAATTTAAAGTTAGATATTGACTATGACCACCGTTTAGACAACTGCCTTTCACTTGCGCACCGTCAACTAACAAGCATCGTCGTATACGTAGCTTTTCTAGTAATGCTACTAACTCGATAGCGCCAACCGAGCACATGATAGCCTCTTAAAGGATTTCCTTTTCTGACGACGTCTAGAACTGTGGTTACGAAGTATAGATAAAAACACAAATAAAAATATTTGTCCAACTCCTGTTTTAGTCTTTGTTTAATAAAACCGAGTTATCGCAACCACAGATCCTTCTGCGGAAGAAAGACAATCTGTGGTCCGAATCTAAGAAATTACATTGCCTAAAATTTTTCCATCATACAGGTATTCTAACTTAGTCAAGCTCACTTGCTTGCTGGATTGAGCTGTCCGCACGTAACGTACCCTTAATACAAAAAACTTATCTGAACTTTTCACATCGAAATCTTTCGATACTAATATTAATTGAATTAACCAGTGTGGATCAAGAGGCTATCATAGGATAAACTCGCCTAATAAAAATAAAGTACCTCTTACTCCAATTGTGCTTATATACCCAAATAATCAAGATGCCTAACTAAAACAGCCGGCTGAACGTGTAGACGATTTCGTTGCTGGTAATAACCATTTCTTAATTAGTTTCTAATATCAGATCGTAGCTAATAACGAGAAGTCACCGGAAAGTGTTGATGCACCCTAGCCACTACCTACGATTTGTTAAGCGTGACCCAAATACTGCCCAAATTAGGTATATAACCCGAATGCTCAAATGGATGCAGTTGATAATGTTTAACAAACCGTTTCCTCTGGATAATAGCTCTGATTTTCTTTTAATTTTTGCCTTTACCTGTTTCAGAATGATTAATGAATTTGCCTGTAATCCATTGAAGCATTGCAAACCTTGCAGAGTAACTAATTAGGCAAATTTGCATGAGGAATTAGGTTCGCCATGACACCGGACGCAGACCAGTCGCCACCCACTACACCCCAGGCGTCATACACGCACACACACGCACACACGCCTATAACCATAAAAATAAACAAGAAAGCTAACGACGCAACAAGCGAAACATTAACTTGTAAACAACTAAGCGTACTTTTTGGGCAAAAATATGCTATTTACCAACTATCACTGTTGACCAGAGAGGGTCACGTGCGTGAAATACCTCTGGCTGCAACTAGAATCAATATTAGCGAAAAGTAATTAATTTACAAGAATCCGGCTGCGCTGTTGCTGTACAGCATAAATTGATCCGAAAAAAAGTTTTTGGCTGAACAAGATGAGCAGGGAAATGTTAATTATTTTAGGGCGTGCATAATTGTCAATCGAGGTCCTACATAACGTAATTTTGTACCGTGACTGCCGTCCTCGTTGTGGTTTACGTGCGCATTACTATTAGTAATTAGCACACCTCTATTTCGATGTATCTCACTATGCATATATACACGTAGGCGTGGCAGGCATTCACGCGCTGTTGTATGTTTGCTTTTGGCGTAAGTCGTTGACGATACGTATTTCTTTTTTGCCGTGAGGTCTTCCTACTTGTTACGTTCCCTTTTTCTATCCTATACAAACCGCTTGACGTCACGTTTTGCCCTCTCTGTTCCCGCTTTCTCCTCATCTTGCAATAGTCAGCTACCACTTACCACGTTCGTACAACAAGACAACCACTGGTGTTCGCCTGGTCTGCGCCGGTCTCCGGTGGACTCCGGAGGGGCGTTTTCTCCTTCGTGGAGCGTCTCTTGGAGCTTGGTTTTGAAGATAGATTAAATAGCATTCCGCCTCTGCTGTCCCACGAACAGGCCCTTTTCTTAGTGTAACCCTGAGGCAACCTGTTTGGCGCGGCTGTTTGCTTGGCACAGTACCGCCTGGCCGGACGTCGAAACGCGCTTTCGGCTCTCGAATGACAAACACAGGCCTAGCTGACGCCTAGCAGACAGCTGCGACCAAAGGAGGGATGCTTTTTACGGTGGCGCGGTTATAATGTCCTTAAAGACCTGTACGTTGTTTATAAATGGGCTTCTATGCTCATACGCGCGAACCGTTTTCAGTCCGTAACGCATTTCGTTGTTCACGTGGTTGACGGCGGGTTACCCGCGTCTGTCTCTCTCTGTTCTCTGTCGTTGTTGTTTCTGTTCCTCCTTTGCAGCAGCGATTGATAGTGATACCGTGCTAAATTCGCGTAGTTCCGTATCGCTGTCATCAGCGGCAGCAGCGACGCAAAGTGGCCTCCCGCCATCTCCGCAGTTATTAGGCCTCACCTCGTGGTACCAACTTCTTCTATCAGGAGCCAAGTCTCCAAGTCAAACCACAACTGTTCTCCTATCTTGCCAAGCTTCGGCTCTCCTGAAGCCGCTACAAGTTCTTCTACTCGCGCTGTTGTGTACATTCTCACGATATGTTGTCGACTTCAACGGGGACAATCGTTTTGTATACTAGATATATAAATAACAATGATAATAATAATATAAGTAATTGTATCAGTCATTATATTGGAAGCAGGAACAACAACAACAACAACCACGGCAGCAGCAAAATACTGAAGCAAGCCTCGAGCACAGCTAACGGCAATAGAGCAGTACGTAACCAGTATACGATCCATTAACTAGCTTTTCGTTACACTTCGATGAAAACCTAGTTAAAGTCTAAGTTGTGCCGATTTAATTCACGCGATCTGACGTATTTGGGTTTATAAACGAAAAAAAAAAAAAACTGTCATACGAATACTAGGCGCTTTTTATGCATTTTAATGTGTTGTTACACAGATCTGTTTTTTGTGAAATAACAGTACTTGATAACTAAGACGCCACACAGACCAGAGTAGACATATCAAAAAGAATTGCCTTTTTCTGTTTTCCACTTTGCAAGCTCTATCTGCATATTTGGTTAAAAGTATCACTGAGTCTTTTGTACGGAATCCTAAAGGATTTCGAAATGGCCACTAGGCACTATATGCCCCGGTCGTAAAAAATTTCATCGTTACTGTTTTTGTTTATCTGTCTTGCAAGAATAACCCTAATGTACTTTTGTTTTATTATTTTTTTAATCGATTTCTTGTATATTGTATTGTTTAATTCCATAAGTTGACTTTACGTATGCGCAGTTGTAAAATATATATATATATATATACTACATATACATATATATATATATATATATATATATATGTATATATATGTCTATTATTCATCAATTAGGATTATTTATACCTTCGATCTTAAACCAGACAACATTCCCTATCCTGGTTCACCTTTGAGCATATATAGGGAATTTCATGGAAGAAAATCAGTCCATAAAAAGGCTAGGTATCACACATTGTATTTTCCGTCTACAATAATATAGCCGAATTGTTTATGTCGGAGCCTAACACCCTTTAATTGTTATGATCGCAGTTAGACGAACGTCTGATACAGATGAAAAATCCATGGTGTAGATTTAAAGCCGCGGTCTAACTGGGCTTGTTCATTGTTGTCGAAGTATCCTCATTTCTTGTCACTTGTTACTCTTCATCAGACAGTTTCGAGAGGCTTAATTGAAACTATTTAAGCTAGATGCGCGAATGGTAGCTTTTGAGGCAGGAAGTGTTCTTCTGGCGTTCCGTGTGTAAACGGTAAGCGGCCCATTTCGAGACATAAATTTATACAACAAAAACTCCTATGAGACTTTTCTTTAAAACGAACATAATTCATTCAACAGTGTTGATTGCTATATACTTCTACTTTGTGGAATTATGATCACCACCGTACCAATGTAATGAGATTAATGAATGATGTAATACGACGATGTGTATGAAGATTGAATGAACCGAGCGCTTATGGGACTACGAACGATATCAATTTCGACAGCTGAGTAGAGCCACTTAATTAATTATGCATACTATTATTGATCCCCAATGTAATAGAAAAGGCGGATATTGTATTATTATGGAGTGTAGTGTAGGTAAACAAGACTAATCAACTATGAGATAGGTACATATCGAAAAGAAATTACTGAAGAATCGGACGTTACCCACTGTCTAAGTAAGTCCCCCCCAACCCCACCCTAGTTTCTCGTGTTCCGGATTATCACGGTGCTGTCTACAGAACGAACTAATGACACTTAGACAACCATTTTTCGTAGCATCGCTCGTGTAGAAAACAGACATTACGGGAAAAGAGCAAACACTTAATGAAACAGATGGCTGAGTTACAGTTGTTTTGGTATCTTGCATAGGAAGCTTTTACTCCAGTAAACGAATGGTAACTACGTGCTCGAATTTGTTGATAGTCCTTGTTGTACTGAAGAAACGAAAATCGATTGACTATAATGGTGATACTATATAAATTTTGATAATGATCGCAATTACTATAGCATGTATATAGCGGTAGCGAACGTCCAATACGTGTCTCTCCATAGTCCTCAGGCACCGATGCAACAATACATAAATAACAAGTCAAAGCCCATACAGTATTGATTAAGCAGTGTCATTTTGAGCAATGCAAGCGTGTGAGTGAATGAATCAACGAATGAATGAATATTGTGTGGGAATACTTGGTAGACTATAGTGACACAGAAATTACCACAGTACTAGAAATGGTACTCTCGTATATCGATAAAGAAAGTCACTTGTAGAAACGAGGAACGGGAAAGTAGGCGCGCATGTAGGCGCGGATGTGAAAGGTGCGAAATTAAGGGGGCAGTTAAGCAATAGCAGAAAGATCAACGAAATACAAGGGAAGCGTTCTCAAATCCGACACGCGTTTTCTGTGATACTTCATATATAAGTAGAGGATAATAGGTTAACTGCATCGTTTAGACGAGGCTTCCTACCATAGATTTTTTGTGTGTAAACGATATAAACGCAAGCAAGTTTTATGAATGGATCAAGGCGAACATCCGTTGTACATCTGCTGCGCTGCAAGAGGATTA